TATTAAATTAAGAATATTAATAGCCTATTACCCACAAACCAATAGATAGATAGAGAGAGTGAACTAAACACTAAAGTAGTACCTAAGACACTACGTAAACTACCAACAAGATAATTAGGTAGGACTACTACTAATAGCGTAATTAGTATATAATAACGCTATATATATAATAACCAACGAATCACTATTTTACGCAAATTTTAGGTACTACCTAAGGGTGATTAGAACCCCACAAGGATAGGTAGCTATAGCCGAGTTAGTAAGACTTAAAGCCACCGAACTTAAATAGCTTTACCTATAGCTATCCCGGGATATCGATTTCGTTAACCTCTAAATAAAGAAATACTACAATAACTAGTATAAAGGAGGGCTAGACCTAAAAAAGGGGGAAAAGGTCTACCTACTACAACGAAATATCAAAACAAAATAACTAAGCGACAAACTCGACTATCTACGATTAGGACCCTTTAAAATCGACAAAAAAATAGGATAAGTCAATTATCGGTTAAAACTCCTATATAGTATACAAAAATATCACCTAGTATTCTATATCTTATTACTCGAACCCGCGTTAAACAATACCAAAATCGCTACCGATATAGAACTCAATATAGAAACCGAAGAAGAATATAAAGTCGAATATATCCTAGTAGACCGATAGTACAATAGTTAGTAATAATTACTAGTATAATAGAAAGGTTACCCTACCTTAGAAAATATATAGGAACCTATCGCGAATTTAAGGGGCTACCACTAGCTCGTTTAACAATACTACTAGAAGGTAAAGCGAACTCCGGAACTACAAGAGGTAAGGAAGACTCGGAATCCTAGAAAGAAGAAGGGAGACTAACGATCTCTAACAATATCCGATCGAAGTTAGGATGATCGGTAGTAGCGGCTAACTACTCTAGATCAAGAGTAGGGGAGGAAGGCTACTTAGGGGATAAATATTTTTCATCGAGAATTTAAAGAAGCTTAGTATTATACTCTAATATTTTAAAACCCTTTTATTTTAAGAAAGCTATTTATTTTCTTAACTATCACTAACGCGATATAGCCTCTTAATATTGTTTTTGTTTATTTAGTAATTTTTGGTATAACTCTATAAGATAAGACTATAGTGTAGATAACTTAGGCTCTAGTAAATCGAGCTTACTTTTATTCTTTTTAATATTAATAGAAAGTTTATCTTTAGCGTTACGTAATAGATCCTACTCACAAGAAGTGTAGAAATCTTATTTATATAACCTACCTACCTATATATAGGTAGCACACTTAGAATAACGACGAGAACGATCTATCACGTAAGATATACCTAAACCAAGGTAGTAACCACAAGGAATAGCAGTCACAAAACTATTCGCCTTAATATAGTCCACTTGCGTGCGATAAGTAACTAAAGAATCACGAGGGAGCTTAGGAGTACTTTCCAAGATAGAATTAGCCTTACGTTTAGGTATAACGGGATAGGAAGGACAGGAAATCTGACTCACCGAAGGAAAGGGGGGACCACGGATTTATAAGCTTCGAGGACGAAACTCCTAGGAAGGAGGAGGTGATATTACGGACCTATTAGGTACCTAACGACCCAAACTACCCTACCAGTATTATAGGCCATCGAGAGCCAATCAACCTAGATTATATACAAAGGACACCCCGGCTAACCAGAAATCGTGTTACGTGATTATATAGGTAGTAGACCGGTCGACGGTAGGACAATAGATTCCGCTAAGATAAATCTACCAAGCTACTATCTACCTAACTACCCCTAGGAAGATAGGAGGATATATAAGGACGTTTATTTATATACTTAGTCTAGTTCTTTGTCTTTAATCCTATATTGTTACTTATATATACCTATACGGACTTACGACTCTTGACTAAGATATAACTTGACAAACACTACGAGCCAGACCAATACCCCAGTATAGATCTACTCAGCGCTCTACCTAGCATCGATTCCTCGACACAACTTCTAGGGACTTAGGCTACCGTAAGGCCTACGGATAAGGCAACAGCTCAGTGACGACAGACGTATCGTTGACGTGGGAAACCCGAGGTGTATTAAGGTAACTATACCCTGAACCGCCTAACCTAACCGTGACCAGTTAGCCAGTGCGTAACATATATACCTAGGTAATATTTACCCTAGTTAATCTATAAGCCTAGCGATAGGCCTTAATAAAATTATTAAAGCTAGCGATAAGGTACTATATAGTGTCTATAATAGCTATAATAAACTTATAAGGTAGGAGTAATTTAGTAGCCTCCTTATCTATAAATATATCTAAAGAGGGGCTATATCTACTAGCTATATTTAACTAAAATAACTCTACCTAAGAAAGATAGGCTAATAGCTTAAAATAGTTTCCCTTAATACCCTTAGGGACCTATAAAATTAAGTAGAATTAGTATAACTAGGTACTAAAATAGGGTAGTGTGAGCACTTTAGCAGAAATAATATTATAGCCTAATAGTAGGTTATAATATTTTGTAGGGGAAGGTGTATTAGGTAAGCTTTATCTTATATAATATTGTATTATATAAGATATAGAAAGGTTTATACTTAGCTTAAGTAGATAATAATAGGTGCGAGGTAAGAAAAGTTGTATTGAATAATTATTTTCTAGCTAGGAATCCTTCATTCCTTATATAGGCAAGCTCTAGCAGTATAGAATATCATAGAAAGTCATTAATAATAGAATGACTTCATTATGATATCCTAGATTTATGGCGATATATTGTGAGTCATAATATAGTTTACCGTAAATAATATATCTAAGGTTCTCTTAGATACTACCGGTAAAATATATATCTTATCCTCACACACCATAGTATATAAATATATATCTTACAATTACTATTATGCTTATAGGTAGGAATAAAATAGGTCACTTACTAACTTATAAGGCTTATATAGCTAATTATAATACTAGTAATTCTTACTATTATAGGTCTTAGTAAAGTAATAGACTAAAAAAACCTAGAGAGACTATAAATTAGTATTAGTCTACTCCTAAAGAGATACCTATAAGTATATTATATACTATATAAACTACTATAGGATAGGCTATACTAGCTTATAAGGAGAGTTATAAATAGAAGGTATAATTAGAGATACTAATTTAATACTAATATAAGTATAAAAAGGGGTTAAAAAGAAGGTAATTCTATAATAAAGTAGTAGATTAAAATAAAGTAAGGTATTAAATAAATAAGAAAAATATAGACCTAAGAAGAAAAGATAAATAAACCTAGGTTATCTATAATAATATAACTAAAGCTATAAAAAAGGAAGCTATAATAAAGGATATAATATAATAAATATTATATCTACTATTTCTATTAAAACCCTTAAAAACTATTACCCTATTAAAATAAGAATAGACTACTACTAAAATGCTCTCTACTACCTATAGTTTAAATAATAAAACTAGAAAGGACTACTTAAGACTAGTAATATATATTACTAGGGGGAGACCTAATATAGGATTATATATACTAATACTAGCTTCCTAGACTAAATCTAGGAAATTATACTTTACCTAGATCTATAATATATATCTATTATCCCCTAGCTATAAATATTATCTAGACTTAATATAATAATAGTACTACTACCTTAGTATTATACTTTATAAGGGTTAATAATAAGGATTTAGGTATATTATATAATAAACCTCTAAAAATTATTAATAAGAAATATAGATTAGCTACTAAAATATTAGTGATATATACCTAAAATAGTATAGTACCTAATTATATATATCCCCCTTATCTACTTTAATATTACTCCTAAAACTATATATAGACCTATAGGCTTAATATACTACTATAAAGTCCTTAACTAATTAGAGAACCCCCTTATTTATAGCCTCTAAGAAGTTAGTATTTTATAAGAGATATCTATTATTAGGGGAGTATAGCTACTTAGCCTAGTCTAGAATCGATACTAGATTGTAAGTGTCCCTCTATATTCCCTTAGTAGGACACTTATATATATTATATTATTCGATATATTACTAGTATTTCTTCGAATTAGTAGTCCTAAGGAAACACTAGATCGATATCGGTTTACTAGTATCTACTATATCCTAACTATTAATACTAGTGTATAAATACTTTATACACTATATATATTTTAACTAAATAGGATTAGGATAAGAAATTAGAGGTATAATAGAAAGATAGTTATAGTATAGAATTATAATTACAAATCCCCCTTAAATATAAATTCTTAATAGAGATAAAAATAGAGAGCCTTTATTTACAAAGGAGCTAGCCTCGAAAATCCTATTAGAACTAGGGTCTACTAGATAAAGAAAGTATACTACTTTAATAAGTCTATTTTAGGCGTAGATAGGGATATCTATATAGGAGAGGGAGGATAATTGTAAAGGATAAAGGTCCTTTCAATTCTGATACTCGGTTATTTACCTAAGCACGTTATTCACGTCCCGGGGTTATAGTGGGGTTAATTCGTAATCGGCTTAGTACTCGGTTCGAGTAGATATAGGGTCCTATACCTAAGTATAAGAACCCCTAGATCCTTAGGATCCTGTTCCTCCTGTAAGAGTTAGTCTTGCAACTTGAGACAATACATTGATCCTTTCTCTCCCCATCATTAAGCCTTGTATCTTACCCGGTTGATAGGCCTTACACCTGATAATCGTATACTCTTACAACAGGGCTCTTTATATAAAAGACCCTTCCTACTCCTTCCCTCTCTACTCTATGCTCCTATATCTACACTTAATATATAACAGCAAACGAGTCACCTCTCAATAAATAAGTTCCCCTTCGACCTCAACCTCGACCTAATAGTTATATAACCCCTCACTAAGATTGTATTTAGTCCCTAAATACTAGCTTATTGTCGTCGATATAATTATCTAGAATACACTCTTCTTTAAACACTGACTTCCACTCCTATAAATATAGTAGGGTCCTAGTTTTAATAGATACTAATTATAAAACTCCTATAGCTTCCGAGTCAAACGATGGGTGTACCGACCCGTATCACTGGCTGGAAATTCGAGGCTAGTGGTAGTAAGCCGCGTGTTTGCTCTGCAAATGAAACTCACGCGGTTATGACCTCAGGCAATCACAAGGTCTTTAAAGCAGGGAAGCCTCTTCCTAAACTGGAAAATGTCGACGATCTGAAGGCCGCTCTTGCTGTGGTTGGAGTTATTTGATTTGTTCTATTATTGCCCCTTTTATCTCTTATCCCAGTTTTTTTTCCCATCGTACTTTAGTGCCCATCGTCTAAGCTAAATCTGTAAACCTTGTAGCCGGATTGATTAACAGCCCATCTAGATCACGCATGTTATATGCTCCACTCTCATCATCCCGAATAGGTACTGGCTCCGGCATATTCGCGAGACGACTTGTGAAGCCACGAGATAGTAGTAGTCCCATAATTCTTGCGGATTTGATGGCTCTGATTGTGTCATTGCCTAACCCTCCAGCTTCAACTCTGAACGTGCTCCAGAATATATCCTCCAAAACAACGTAATCGTCATACCGGACCCAGCCTTTCTTGAGATGGACCTTACTTATCAGTCGCTGGTGAGAAAAGAGATTCAAGCCAAATGGTGCGATCTCTGCTTCTGCCCAATCGACAACCCCAACAAGATTGCAAGACATTTCGTTCACAATAATATTGCAAACACCAAAGTCTTTGTGGACTAGCACCATTGGAAGAGAGAAAATGGTGGGTAATGAGTTGAGACACTCCTGGATTGATGGGTGGAAGCGATCTGGGAGAGAAGCAAGCAACGAATTCAGCTCACTTTTGTATCGACTGTACAAGTCGTCGCGGTACGTTTGACCAACATCTTGAGGATGTTTCCACGAAAGGGCAAAGAATCTAACAGGGCATTCAATTAGTAATTCGGTGTATTTGGAACGAGAACTAAGCATACCTCGCAATGTCAATTACAAGATTCTTGCGCCATGAAGAAAACTCGGGCGAGGTTTCGGGCACTTGGCTATTATGTGTCAGGATAAAATCCAAGTAACTAATGCCTCTGAGTCGACTCATGACGTAGATGGAAAGGGCTTCTTTGCTCTCTGTAGCTTCTCCAATCTGTCCCATAAAAGTCACTTGAGGTGCAAAGTGGCTGTAGATGCTTCGAGCAAGTTTCGCAGTCTCCATACTTAGCTGGAGGGACGCAAGGCGGAATTGCACGACGACTTCGTTATTGTTCCCCGCATAGACGGTATAGCTGCACACACCCTGCACGGCCACCGGAACTATGTTTCCACCAACATGCTCCCTCGCAAAGTTGTCACAGGCTGAGCGAGTGACTGTCGTCTTCTGGAAGAAATCTGCAATTTCTTGGTCAACAGAGTATGCGAGGTCACTGGTAGCCATGGTGGGCACAGGTTGCTTTGTTCAATATGATGAATTATAAAGCATGAGGTTGTAGCTGAGGTGAGGCAAGGAGGAATGGTATATACCCCTATTACAAAGGGCCAAATAGGTTGTCAGGTGACAAAATATCACACCTAGATGCCTGACATTTCTGCCACATCGCGGTGCTGTCCCCCACCCAGGACGCAGTTCACCTAACCTGTGTGCCGTTAGTTCATCCAACCGGTGTCCCACCCAAATCACGTGACTTTTTCTTATCTTATCTACACCGGTCAGGTTCTAGGTATATTTCAGTATTCGCTTTCCTAGCAATTTAGTTATAACTATGGGCGGCGGATTACTAATTCAAAATTACTGAACGAACTGGATAAACAAATCTCCGGTATGCCGGTCCGTATACTCCGACACTTTTTAGCAGCCTTGTCATCATACGTGCGTTGAGAAATCGCGATATAGTTCATCAACAAGACGATAGAGGTTCCTCTGCCTCAAGTTGGGGCTCAGGCTCTGATCCTATGCGGTCCTCGGGCCTCATTTGAGAGTCTTCTTAGTCCAAGAAAGACACCGAAATGTCTTGCCCTAATCGCTAGCAGACCGATGATATATTATCCGCTAAAGTTCTGCGAAATATCACATATCGGTGGCGAGTGAAAGATCATTCGAACATCAAGTTGCAACTTGTTCTATAATGTAGTTTACTAATTTTTCCAGATGTCACACTGATTACACCTCCTTCTACCCTTGCTCATATCAAATCTGCTTTACAGCAAAACCCTCATTTGCAATCACTTCCTTTGTCAAAACTCCTCGCCGCTCAAGATCTCGAAGCAACGGTGGCAACCGCACAGCTGCTTCGTCTTTTAGAGGTGCAATCCTGCATAAAATCCGATTTCCTCCTCCTGCCTTGCGATCTTGCCTGTGAAATTGAGGGCACATAACTACTTCTTACAGATGTGGATGGTGTCTCAAGGTCAAATTGTAATGGCGAGGGAGAACGACACCGTCGACGTGAACTTTATTTGTATAATCATGCAGAAGACCCAAGGATGAAAGCTTGGATCTAATAGCTGTTGAACCACTTCGGCAGACTAGACTGTCGAAACTGCTCATGTCTGTCGGGATGGATACTGTGAAAAGGAACCTGGAACGTGATAAAGGTTTTCTTCTTCGTCAATCTTTTACAAAACAGCAAGCCGCACAGAATAAGATATTGACTGGCTACTGCGATACACACCTCTATATTTTCCTCTGTTGGGCCAAGGATCTCGTACAACGTCAGAAAAAATTAGTGCCTGTTAGCGAAGATCTCATCGGGCTCTGGGCCAAGTCTTCATGGCAGCGGGGACTGCCTGCAAAGCTGAGGCTAAGCCCTAAGCCCAAACCCGCGCTTCTCCTATCAACTTCCCTTCGTCTAGCCATACAAGCATCAATTGAAGAAATTGGCCATGCTCAATCCCCATTTGCCCATGACCGGAAGACCACCTCTTTTGAACGTGTGGCTCCAAACTGTTTTATCTCACAGGCCGACTGTCTCCTTGGATCAAACGTGATTGTTGATGATGTTATCATTGGAGGACGCTGTGTTGACCGGATGTGTAGTTGGAAGTGGTAGTTATATCGACAAAGGCTCGGTGCTGAGGGATTGTGAAGTTCAGGAAGGTAATGTTGTTCCTGAGAAAACTGAAGCCAAGAACGAGAAGTTTATGCCACTTTTTGAAGATCTCAAGGAGGATACAGATAATTATGGCATGTTTGCGGAAAGTTGCTATTTTTTCTAGTCTTGGATTCTAGGGCTTGCCTTTACAATGCTCATTACAATTTTGGACACGAAGGAAACTCATTGATGGTTATGGGGCCCATTTCATTCCTGATTTCAATGCCATAGCCACTAACATTACTTACAGCGACAGGGTTTTGGTTTTTAGCTCCTTTTCTACATCAAAGACTCTAATTCTTCTGAATAACAATATCTGTCTACATATCACTATCCAAGTTGTAGTACATACCCGACGCATATCTCTACCAAGCGACTGATTTATAATATACGCTAGTTTTAAAGTAATTAAGCAGAATGCCATGTTATACACGTAAATCTTCCCTTCACAGATTAAGCCCCTCGCTGTTTTCTTTCCACCACCTACCTAACGATAGGAGTGGTGATGCTGCCTGGGAACAGCACTTCCACCTCCCTCGATCTGACCAGGCTATATCTCAATCTACCCGGTTGTCACCCGGGAGACGACGAGAGGATTTGACTACCGCCCGCCAGCGATTACGGTTCCCGGATGCATGGGATTCCTATGTTTCACTCGTTTCTAATTCACGAGTCGTGATAAATGGTAATTACTTTTCCGATGATGTTCGCGAGGACCGCACGCTCTCTGAAAAAAAAAAAACCTAAATGTTTCGCAAGGAAGCATTTCAAGGCGGGTGTTCGCTTATCGGCCATATGGATAGGGAGTTTCCCTTGAATGATGACCATTTGTCCCTCTGAAGGAGGTGCAGGAGAATCTCCCCAGGACTGATTTCTACAAATGCAACTCTGGATCCCGCCTCCTTTTCCCCCACAGAAAAAGAATGGTGCAAAACAGCTTGGAGCGGATACATCCTGGGTACAAATGGTATGGTAAAAGAGTGATATATTTGACCCACTTCGTTCCTACCCGTGGATTTGGCTAAAAAAAGACCCATTCTTAGCCAATCATGAAGGTGCAAAAAAATGCAACCTGTGGGAATCGAACCCACGCTACTTTCGTAACTAGAATGCTCACTGTAATCAGTGAAGAGGAGATCTCTTGAGTCTAGCGCCTTAACCGCTCGGCCAAAGTTGCCTAATTAGGTTGATTAGGTTGAGTCTGAATGAGCTATAAGGATTTCATCAAGTTCTCTTGTTCTCTGGAGCAGCATTCTTGGACTTGGTGTTTTAAGAGAATCGATAACTCTATGCCTTCTTTCAAATGGACCACTGCTTGGCAGTATATCTCCGCCTATTAAGGGAAGCCCAGGATAATGCATAACATCATCTATAGTATGTGACGATCTTGTGGCTCGGATATTCTACTCCGTACTGCGGAATGCAAAACACCTTTTGTTGTTGCCACCGCTTTCCGGATTGGTGTTTGTTGCATGGAGGCGGATACAAAGGGTTCGACCCCATAAGCCCTTTTCTTTCGCTGTACCTGAAATGTTGAGTGGATGCACTCTCTCCACTGGAAGAACTGACTGGTGATATAATGAGTCAGCCGCTTATATAACCTTTTGATTTCTAACCTTGGAAGGTTTCCAGTGGTGTTTTAAGTGATATCTCAAGTTATTCTATTTAGATATTGATACACCGTATGTACTTCATATGCGAGTACCTACGTAGGTTACGCCAATGAACATAGTATAGGTAAGATGGGTATCATTTATGTTACAATAACTGACGCTCTTATTAAATTTTATGACGATAGTAATTGATAGGCAATTTTAATATCCATTATGCCTAAATCAACCTTTTAAATAGGACAACCTTATTTTCATATCAGGAACTAGATCACTAAACTCCAGCAATGTATGAACATGTCTCAGCCAAGTTGTTCAAATTCGCTAAAGCTCCATGGAAACGATGTATATAATAAAAAGGGATTGGATGATCAGAATCAGTTTGTATAGACAACTGTTGTTATGCTGATTTATCGCTTTTGCTATGTGTTTTGCATGAACTACTCGCATGAATACGTTGACTAACTTATGGAGGGAGTCTCCAGCTTGTTCATCCCTCCACACTTTAGAAACATATAAACAGAATATTCAAAGAGAACACTGAAGTCCACTAGAAAGAGAGTGCTAGTAATTACATACTAGACTTCAGACATTGCTATACATACCAGCAAGAAAACAAGGTATCATGTCAAATTTCTCTTGATATTTTGTTCTAGTCTGACTATTTTTATCGAATTGCAACTTTGGCCGAGCGGTTAAGGCGCTAGACTCAAGAGATCTCCTCTTCACTGAATACAGTGAGCATTCTAGTTACGAAAGTAGCGTGGGTTCGATTCCCACAGGTTGCATTTTTTTGCCTACGTGTCATCCATCTAGATGCTCCGTATCACGATTATTTTTGTTTCACCAACTTTGCCGGAGACTTCTAGGTCCGAAGTCATTTTCTGACACCTTTTCGCCGTCTTGGTTGAAGTGAATTGATCAGAAACAGTAATCAATGCACAAGGGAATTCATAATTGTACCGGTCCTTCTAGGGCGCTAAACCCAAAATGACAAAGCTAACCCGAAAAGGCAATGCAGAGGGGCAACTTTCTGTGATTTGTTCATGTGGGGCAACTTATTATCTTAACTTTTTTTGATATTTTTCTTAAATTCTCCACGTCTCAACTTCTCTCCGGCTCTTATTCACCTTCTATCTGGCTCCCTCACCTCGTATTACGGCCTATTTGCTTCGGCAAGGCAAGCTTAAACTTCCCACCATGGCCCTCACGACCGTCGATCAAGTTACCCCGAATGCGGTTGAAAAGACTCCCGATGTACTTGTGACCCCTTGCGATCCATGGCCTGCGCCTTACTATTTGGATGGTGGTTTCCGTCGCGTCACGCCATACCATTATACCTATAACACCAATTGCAAGGAACGATGGCGTGGTCGCCAGCTGGTTGAGATCTTCACCTCCGAGTTTCGCGATCGAAAACCAGAATACTATGTATGTGAATGCGCGCATGCGTGGATCTTCAGACGCAAGAGAATCGCAAACTGACAATTACCAGAGGAAAGCCCTGGAAGATGGCCTTGTACAAGTCAATGGTGTAACAGCCCGCCCCGAAACGACGCTTAAAAACGGCCAGGTCATCTCACACACACTCCACCGCCACGAACCTCCCGTTACAAGTCTTCCCGTTGGAATCATTTACGAAGACGACGACCTCCTAGTTATTGATAAGCCTGCCGGTGTACCGGTGCACGCCGCTGGCCGATACCACTTCAACACAGTTGTTGAAATCCTGCGCTCGGAGCGCAGCTCCGAATGGCTACCTCGCCCATGCAATCGACTTGATCGATTGACATCTGGAATTATGTTCATTGGAAAGCACCCCCAGGGCGCCGAGAAGATGGCTACCGCACTCAAGGCCCGGACCGTACAGAAAGAGTATGTCGCGCGCGTGAAGGGCAAGTTCCCCGATGGCGTGGTGGTCTGCGACCAGCCGATCATGCAGGTCAGCCCGAAGCTGGGTCTTAACCGTGTGCGCGCCACCGGCAAAGAAGCAACAACCAAGTTCCGTCGCCTGGCTTACTACCCTCCCGAAGCAGCGAAGGAGACCGAGTCATCTAGCGACGACGAGCGTCCCGCTACCCCGCCCGCGATTTTCGCCAATGAGAGTGAGGGCTACAGTATTGTGCACTGTTTCCCTCTGACAGGCCGTACTCACCAGATTCGTGTTCACCTCCAGTTCTTGGGCCACCCGATCACCAACGACCCTATCTACTCCAACCGCCGTGTGTTCGGACCTGAGCTTGGCAAAGCCGAGGTGACCGCAGAGCGTGATGAAGAGATTGTCGCGCGACTGTCTCTGATGGGTAAAACCGAGATCCCTGACACGGTCTCGTACCGCACTCACCTGACCGCGGCGCCTAATGTCCCACCCAACACCGATCCGGTGCTTGTCAACGAGATCATGCATCGCGAGCAAGTAGCCGCAGCTGAGGATTACGAAAAGCGCAAGGGCGAGCGTCTGTCGGGCAATTTCTGCGAAGTCTGCGGCACAGAGCTATACTCGGACCCGGGCCCCCACGAGCTGGGTATCTTCTTGCATGCTGTTGCATACGCCGACAAAGATGGTGATTGGTCTTACCGCAGCCCTATGCCTCGCTGGGGTTTGCCTCCTGCGGGAATGGAGGGTCCTCGCACGTGTCCGGACTGGGTCCCTGCTGCTGAAGGCGAGGAAATTGTCATTGGCCATGGGACTGTTCCGCCTGGCTTGGGTGATGATGACTATGCTGCAGACGTCAAGACTGGCACCGTTCTTGTAGAAGGCGTTGGTCTTGTCAATATCCCTGATGCTGCTACGAAGATGAGAGAGTCTCGTGAAGCCACGGAGACAGCTGCTACGAACTAATGATGATGTCTTACAGGATTTCCGTTCTTGAAAATATCTTCTACCTATATCATATTACTCGGGATCTCTTTGTCTTTATCTTCATGATACCACTCTGCTGACTTACCATGAAAAGTTCACGAGCAAAGCGTCTTGGTTTTGGTCTTCCGTGACATGTCGATACATTGATTTTTGGTCTTTCTAGCATATAAATGTGCTGCTTCTAGAAGTCTTATAGAGATATAGAGATATTTGCAATCTATGAACCTTCATTCGCATAACATACCACTTGTAAACCCAAAGCCCATGCATGTGCTTTATATCAGAGGCCTTATATAGTCCGAAGTCCTGTATTTGAACTTTCCTTTAGGGATCATGATGTAGGCCTACCGTGGGACTCGCTAACCATTCCATTCAATATACATCAAGCTCCAGCACGACAGGGTTGAATTGATCGCTCTTTCTAAGCGAGTTCTCACCCTTGCAAATAGAACAAAGAAACAGGTTGATACTAACCCCGAATAGGAAGAGTTCGCACCGTTACTCTAAGCAGTCGAATTCCCCAGGAAAGGAGATGCTCTGTTGTCAAGTCTCGCCTGTATTGTTCCCTACACATCCTGCAGCTCAAAATAACTGAAGATCCCAAACAGCATATTCATGTATAATTCTTCATCTATTCTACCAAACCAACGCTATAAATGCCGGTATATTTCAACCGTGATGCAAAACCGAACCAGACCAAGACATAACGCTCAACGCTCAACGCCAAGTAATGTATCCCAACGATAAAACAGACGCCACATCTCGAAATCTAAAAATCTAGCTGGTCACCCACTTCACTTTGTCACACTTCTCCATCCGCTCCACTGCAGCATCAACCCGCCACAGCATCGTCCCTGACTGTGTGCCTGGCTGGGGCTGCCCGCGCAGCACCGCGTCAGAGGTTGTGCACCGCATGTCGGCCGTCAGGCGGTACTGAACGCAGTTTGGGTCTGCGGCGCAGTAGTCCGCGCAGGCGGCGAAAGACGTGGGCGTTGCGGGACCCTTGTAATCTTCTTTGTCGTCGCCTGCGCTCGCAAAGTTGTCCCAGTTGTCTAGGTGGTCTGCAAGGGTTGGACGGATGAGGTTGCGGAAGATGTCACTGTATGTAAGCACATTCGAGCTTGTCTGGGGTTTGTTAGTGACATGTTTACATATTGCAGGGAAACGGATATTCTATATCCAATCACGGGAAATCAAAAAGCAGAAGGAAACAAAAGCACTCACATCCGCGAACCACTGCTGCTCGAATTCCCAGAACCGATCCACATCCGCTGGCGTCATATGGTGGAAAGTCGAAGGAGCAAAACACCAAGGCGTCTTCCCAAACGCCTCGTGCAGTATATCCTGCTCCCAGACCGACTGGGTAGTAAGTTGTGGCCAAGACCAAGTAAGCCCAACACCGGCTGCATCGAGCGCCATGCCAAGCACGCAATCTCCCGCCCATTCCTGGTCGGTGATGGCATCCCACTCATCGATATGCAATTTATGAAAATCTGCCACGGCATGGATAGCCGCATGGGAAAGCACAAACCCCGAACCACCATGCGCAAACAAATTATCCCCGATCTGCATCTGATTCCCTAGATACAGCTTATCCTCGGGGTTGAAATGCGCCAGCCATCCGAGTACATTCGGCCAGATCGGATACGTGTCTGCTTCGAGAAACACGAACCACTTAGCGTCTGGCTTCTCGCGTCGCGCGGTATGGATCATCGGGAGGAATTTCCACTTGTCAAGTTTCCAGCCCGGGTTGTCGGTCATGCCGAAGGCGCTATTTGGGACTTTCATGTGGTCTTGTTCTGTGAGGGCTGTGCGGCCTCCTTCGCGGGCGCGATTGTAGAGAGCGAAATCGCCATTGGTTTGTTTGAGGGTGTCGGAGACGTTGAGGAAGACATCGTGTGTGCGAGTTCCGGCTATGTCTTCTTCGAAGTCGGAAACGATGATCTTGTGCGGGACGCAGCGAAGGGTTGTTCTTAGGTGGACGGGTACTTTGCTTTGCGCTTCTGTGATGCCGGTTTTCATCACTACCAGGATATCGTCCATTCCTGTTTCTGTTGGACAGGATGATGGTACATGTTCGGGTTTTTGTGGTGGTTGCGTTGTGTGTTTCGATTGTTAGCCCTGCGGCGGGTTCGATCACGTCCTGCGTGATCTTCGAGCTAAAATCGGCGTGGGCGAATTGAAGGACTAGGAGGATCAGGATTATTGGGCCAAGGATGAGTACCCAGCGACCATATCGAGGTGGGACTGAGGGCATGTTGAGAGGTTGGGGTCGGAGAACTCTATAGGTAGAGAGGAAGAAGATCGAAGATGGGGGCTATTGGATATAAAAAGATCGGCCCCCATTTCCAGATGGGGACCTAAATATAAAACAGGAAGTTGGTAAGATCGTCAGGAGGGGGGTCTCCAAGTTCTTAAGTGATGGGCGCATATAGGCTGGGCGATGCAGGTTCCAGTTTATGTGCATACAAATGACATCCAACCAGAGTTGCACCAGCACCAATATTTCCCGAGTTGAGCAGACATGAGACACAAATCTATAATCGAGACATCCCGATCCCTGTTTTTGTGCTGTGATATGTCCGTGTCTCGGAACTCGCAAGACTTTGGCGTACGTCACCACAGGTGGGTCTGATGATCTGAAACGTGTGCACATATGGAGTAGAGTGATCGTCTATAGGTAAAAGGGCAGTTTCATATTGAATGTGCACAATATGCTGTATACAACAAAGATTGAGAAAAGATCTGGTACTGGGGAATTTCACTTTTTAGGGTTACGATTTTGCTTGGCTACACTGAACATCCATGGGTGTACATGTACAAGGTCAGATTTGGGATCTGCCTCGCAAGGTATTGGAATGAACCCGAGGGATTTTTGCAATTTTTGTTGTCATTTCAGAGAACAATTCTCTCGCTTCACAGCGCCCGGCACTATGACAAGGCCCGAGCCGGACATGCCATGCACAATCCTTAAATTTCGTTATCGCCAGAGAGAAAGTATCGCCATACAAAAACCCCGACCTATACCAATCCAAACTAAAATGAGATAAACTGGGTTTATTCCATTTATGCCTCGGTGGTGACACGGCCCTTGGGGTTAGTGACCTTAACACCGAGAGCCTTGGCCTTCTCGATAATCTCGACACGCTTGCGGGAAGAAACGGCGTGGCCGATCCTGTAAAACTTGTTAGCAACAGGAATATATGTAGAGAGCAATCAGAATCGCTCCGCTAGATATCGTGGAACGTACTCAGCAGCGAAGGTGCGGTTGTGCATGAGGAGGAGCTCAACGTCCTTGGGGTTCTGGACGAGGAAAGCCTTGTGGCCGGAGGGCATCATGTGACGGGTCTTCTTGTTGGAACCGTAACCGATGGAGGGCATGGCCATCTGACCCTTGAAACGGCGACGAACGCAGTTATCAATACCCTTGGGCTTGCGCCACGAGGCGCCAACGCGCATGAAGCGGTCAGACTGGTGACGGTTGAAGCGGTTCGTGCCTAATTGCGGTCGATGTTAGTCCTCCGATCGTGAATTTCAATGATGTGTGCTTTTTTCGGCCTCCACGGCCCTGCGGATAGTGTCGCCATTCGATCGAGACAGATGTTCAATTTTTCCCCCTTCCACAGCAATCCTCCCAATAATAACCCTCTTCGTTTGGTGCATCTTGCAAGGCTTGCTTTGTTTTCATGTGGTCGACGATCGAGAGGCGAGGGTATCCAGGGCACGGGCACGAAAAGAAATGGGACAGGTGATCGGGAACATACGCTTCTTCACGATAGGGATGTGCTGCTTAGCGGCGGCCATCTGGAATCAAAATTAGTGACTGTGTCAAATATCATGCGCATTTGGGGACTGACCTTGTCGGTATTGCTGGGTCTCGCCGGGCGTTCGAGAGTTGTCGGGTCGGAGTTCAATCTCGAAAACTTCTCTCTCAGGTTCTCCCGCAGCAGAGTGGGAGACCCACACTAGTGCGCTTTGGGCGAACTAAGCGAAAGCAGACCACTTATGTCAGCCTAGGGCTGGCCTGGCTTGAGCCCTACTATTCCTATTTGGGCAATATCTGATGCTCTATACAGTAGTCTATGGTCTCATACATCTTTCTTATGCTGGGCATTCAAACTAGTCCTTCGGTAAATTTTGATCATTCATGTCATTTATTTCATTTAGGCCAATTGATCCTACACATGATCTCTATATAGCATCTAAACATCACTGCAAATGCAACTGAACCTTCTCGCCATCTTCCTCGCCACTCCGCAACATCTGCTCCAAGATCTCAAGATCAGCCAATGCTTGCTCGGGAGACTGTCTACTGTCAGGGTTTCCACTCAGAATTGAGTTTGCAAACTCTGCCACCTCTGGCACAACACCTCTACCATCAAACTCAACGTGGTGCTTCTCGCCGTTCACTGTCACATCATCAGAGTTCAAGGTGACGACACCTTTCTCGCAAGCAAATTCGAAAATTTGATCATCAAATGACGATCCCCACGACAAAGAAATAACGCCCGTAGCACCAGATTCAGTCTTTGCAACGGCATCTACTGTATCAACCGGTGGCAGGAATGATTGCTGCAGCTGCGACTGTGCCGACAGAATGCTGAGACGCTCCGTGGGGCCTAGAATCAGGCGCAACGCAGCAGTCATGTGTACACCACCGTCCAAAAGGAATCCACCCTGGTATCCTGGAGTCTTGCGCCAGGCGGTGTCTAGGTTAAGCATAGTCAGTCTCCGTAATATCCTCTATGTAGAGCCTCAAGCGGGACTGAACGTACGGAAGTACTTGTTCTTCACATCCATCAAGCTGTGAACGTTCACGCGGAAGTTCTTGACCTTGCCTAGCTTCTGGACTTGCTCTGCTGCGAAGAGGAACTTGGTCATATAACGGAAGTTCTCGGCGACGGCCCAGAAGACCTTGCTGGTATCGATCTCACTCTTGTACCATTTCAAAAGTTCCTGGGCAGTGGCGACATCCTTAGCAATGGGCTTCTCGGACAAGACGTGCTTGCCAGCGAGAAGTGCGTTCTTGATGAACTCCGGCTGAACCAGGATGGGAAGGCTATCCGAGTCAATAGTTAGTGTTTTGCCCTGTTGTTCAAGTGAGGCTAGGGAAATGGGAGTCCCGTACGCAATGATCACAGCACCAATGTCTGAACGAGCCAGTAGGTCGGTATAAGATTTGCCAGATCCTGAGTCTTCGGAGTAGAGATCAACTTCAGATGTACCGCTGGCGAGATCTTGGGCTGACTTCAAGGACCGAGAATAGATGGCCTTGAGTTTGAAGTTTGAGGCAGCTTGCACGGCGGGCTGTGTGTTTAATTAGTCAAGGAGATCATATAGGTAGAATATACATGTGTAGTATCATTGGACAGTCATACAAGGTGCTGCTCTTTCGCAAAGAGACCTGTCAAACTGTTAGCGATTGCATACAGCTTCAAGTGTACATGAGAATTGCGTACCACTGCCGATGATAGCAACGCCGATTGACATGATGAATTTCAAGTTGGTATACGTAGAGAGATAGATAGAATGTAAGTCACAGTTTTGCAGTACTTCCGCTGCTATTAAAGGGAGTCCAAGGTGGGTACGTGAAATGTCCCCAGAGCCACTCTAAATTACGGGAAGGTCCAACCTCGCTGCACGTCATTCGTCGGCTGCATTTCCCTTCTGGTTTGTCGAATGTTTCCTTGTCGGGAGTATCCTTTAGGACTAGTTTTCAAGTATAAGATATGGATATCCTGTCTATACGAAAATTAAGCTCTACTCCGTACGGAGACTCCGTGATAGATCGGGTTCAAGAATCCATCAAATTATGACTCGAAACTATAGAATTCCGTCCCATTGCGCCGAATATCAAAACACAAGAGAATACAAAGGGCCCTCAAATCCTACCAAATAGACGCCCAATCATGTCCATCATCAAATAATCCAATCGTACCAGTCATAACAAACAGTCAAAGATCAGAGCCTCAAGCCCACGTATCAGCCAAAAGCCCTCCAAGAATTGACAGGTCAAAATCATGATTGATGATTAACCAATGCCCTTAGCCGTTCCACGCGCGCCATAGCCTTCTCCAATTTCTCTAACCGACTGCGCTTCTCAACATCCCTCCTTTCCAACACAGCAACCCTCTCCTCAAGCTTCGCGCGAGCTCTCCTTTCCTCCGCAACCATCTCATTCGCCTGGCTGAAAAGCTGCACCGTCAACTCCTCTAGCTCAGTACTCGCCTGCGAAAGCTGCAACTCGGCAGCCTTGCGCAGTCTCTGTTCGCGCGTAAGCGCATCCTGGAGCTCGGCGGTGTGCTCGCTGTTCGCGGGGGACATGTGTGGGATGGGTGTTGTCGGCGCGGTTGGGGTACTAGGGAGACCGCTGGATGTTGTAGGTGCGCTTGCGGGGGTTGCGCTGCCGCGTCGGTAGGGAAGAAGAGAGGCTAGGTTGGTGAGGCGGCTGTGGTATGTTTGGGGTTGGGAATCTGAGGTTGTTGGGCGTTGTGGTGACTGGTCGATTTGGGAGGGGGTCTCCCTAGTGAAGAGCTGCTTCGGGGTGTGTGATAGGATCCTTGGGATTGGGAGGAGCGTAGACGTCGGACTTCATCTTCGTATTCGCGGAGTTTGGAAGCTGTTTGCGATCGGGTTAGCGAATGATCCTTGTTTTGAAGGGTTGGGTTGAAGAGAGAAAGAAAAGAGCTCTGTCTCATCGGTAGATATGCGATCGCATTCATGCTACGCTCTGCAGAGTGTTCAGGCTTACCTGTAGCTGACGCGCGCGCTGTCAACGCATGAACCTGCCCCTCCAACTCCTGGATCCTATCGTGGGCGCCAGAGCCATCTTGAAGAAATCCTTCTCCCCAACACATAGGGCATTGTTTTTCTGTAGCAATACCCATGGCCGGTGCGACAAGTGTAGTGAGGGAGGTCGACATGACATGGGGTTTACCCCGGGAATCTTTGAGGGGGTTTAATTTTAGGGCGACTTTGCAACGGTTAGACGAGGACTTGGGAAGTACCTAAGTACCAACCAAAAAGAAATTGAAAGGCTGAAAAGTGATGATCCCTGACCCTTTGAAGGGGTTTCAATTAATTCCATACCGGCCACTTTTATTTCTTGGCCAATAGTATTTCATTGGTTCCTGAATGATCTCATACATTTTATATCTATAAATCCCAACGTGAAGCGTGTGAACCGAGTAAGTCAAGTAAAATCAAATGAACACGATCATCGTGACCTATATACTGTATACCTCATCTGCCTCGTTGCACTAATATATCCCACGTTCTGACCGTTTAAGGCTAGTGGGTCCTATGTATACACCCTTGCTTGATCGACGGAGTGAATAGTCTGAAATATGAACTATCTTGCTGACAATATTGATACTAAAATTAGACAGAATATAGGAATATTGTACTCCGTACTCTGTACATATGTACGGAGTAGCTATAAACAGTATCTATCAAGTCCAACCATCCTATTTCTTCAAGGTAACTGATCGACCACGTTCTGATACACTAGTGCCGTGGAAGACTTGTCAGAGATATAACGACCCTCGAATACCTCGAACAATGGCATTGTTATATATCTGGAGCATCTCGCTATATGTATGGCCTAAAATATCCTAGATAGTACTCTTAAAAAAATCCTACGAAGACCCACTGTCAGTGAAGACTGCATTTCATTCTATGCTAAGCGGAAATTCAACTCAAAGGTTAATACGCAGAGATGAGCAAAGACCATCGAGACAACCCTGCCATGCAAAGATCCCAAAGAATTGGATTAGAAGCAGTCGAAAGAGCAAAAGAACAGGAATTGATTTCGTCAACGTTGTGCTCATGAGAGGGGTGCTCGTAATGACTATTCTCGCAGAATCATCTTGTTCGTATGGCCGAGTACAGAGAAAGAAGAGTGTCAAAACATCAACTCCCCAATGTATATCCCAACGGCAGACAGGAACGAGAAAGAAACAGGACCACCCGTGGTCAATCGAACGGAAGAGAGGAGAAAATTGAGAGAAACAAGAAGAAAAGGGGAGATAAAATGGAACATGTAATATTCATTTCGCATCGGCTGTAATGGTCATGGGCAGATCACTTTGAGTCACGCATGGGAATAATAGCTAGATAGCGAACAAGACATAAAATGAAACTTTTCGGACTGCCAGATCATCGAAGCAGGACTAGATGTATGTCGAAAAAAAATCTAGCCCACGGAAAAGGAAAAGAGATCATGAAACCAAAGGACAAAAGAGTAAGGGGAAGTGGAAAGGAGAATAAAGCTCAATCAGAAAAAGCAACCTACGTCCGCACGGAGGAATGGGCGGAGCAGGTGGTAATTATGAGTGACAAACCTGTCCAGTGCACCGCTCAAGGTAACTCGACCGAGCAGCACATCAAGACTGGATTGAACCTCGTCCAGAATTAACCCACCTGCATACCGGTGAATCCAGGCCTCGGGCAAAAGACAGTCGTTGCTTCGGGGTATCGATACGTTTATGCGAATCCACGACCAGTCTGTCCACGGCCCTTGTTGCGCTTGTTCACGCTGACCGTGCTCCATCCCTCGTCGTCACCGCCAGCAGCAGCAGCCTCGGCGGCCGGGGCTCTCCAGCCATTAGCAGACGCCTTCTTGGGCTCGGCAGGAGCAGCAGCTGTTGTCTCCTCGGTCTCCTTGTCGGCGGTCAATTCACCATCCTCTCCGGCCCGCTGGAGGATCTCGAAGTTGCTACCACCCTTGGGGGTCTCAAGAGCATCCTTGCCGTTGTGGTCCACGGGAGGGGCTGCTTCCTTGAGTTGCTTTTGCTTCTCGGCGAACTTTTCGGCCTTTTCGGCCTTGGCCTTGTCGGCAGCTTCCTGCTTTTGGCGGATGGCAAGCTGGCGTCTCTCCTCGACCTGACGCTCACGAGTAGCGGTGTCAATGGGACGAGCGGCGCCGAAGGGGCTGGCCTTGGAATCGCTGGTGGCTGAGGTGGGGGTGGGGTTCTCTGAGACAGTGCGCTTGGTCAGGTTCAGCTTAGGGCGACCAGCAGGAGCGGCAGGAACGGCAGGCGTGGCAGAGGGGGAGGCGGGGCTGATGGGCTCCTTGGGAGTTTCGTCGGGGCGCATTCTCGCGCGCCACTGGTTGTCCATATCGGCAGCAGTGGGTGTGGGCTCCGGGCGAACGTGCTCGGGGCGGGGAGGGCGCGATCCCTCGTCCTGGGAACGTCCCTCACCCCATGCGGCCTCGGTTCTCCGGAAGCTGGAACCAGGTCCGTCGTTGCTGTGCTCTCGGCCACCCTCGCGGGGCGGGCCACCGGCAGAGGGCGAAAGGGGTCCCTTGCGCTCCCAGTTGTTGAAGTCACGGGGCTTTCCGTCGGACTCGAAGTTGCTACGGCGGCCGCCGTGATCGCTGCCGGCATCGGAGCCACCACCCATGCCACGTCCGAAGCTAGAGCGCTCAGGCACACGGCGTTGGGGAAGTTCGGGGAGAGGGCCACGTCGGGACCAGTCAAGATCCTTGCCTTCCAGGCGAGATTCCTTGGCTAATAATGTGTCAGTTAAGATCCTTGCAAACCCACTGATCTGAAGTACTTACGAGGCTCCGCAACACTGGTGCGGATGGAACGTCCCTGGAGAGACGAGCCAGACAGATCCAGAGCCTTCTTCAGGCCCTCAACGGTCTCAAACTCGACATATCCGAAGCCCTTAGGGGCCTTTGTCAACTTGTCCTCAACGAGACGGACGCTCGTCACGCCACATCCAGCGAAAAGCTCGGAGATATCGGCCTCGGTTGATTCGAAGGAAAGGTTGCCAACGTGGCAAGTGTAGGGGGGCTGGGTGGGGAGATCAAGAGGCTCCCGAACGGCATATCCACCACGCTCGCGCTCTAATCATCCAATTTGTCAGAGGCTGTTTGATGTATCTAGTGCGGGGGGCATCATACCAAAGCCGCCAGTGGAGCCGGAGCCGAATGCCAAGTCACCCGCGGGGCGACGGCTGAAGGTGGATGAAGGCTGGGCTTTTCCATCGTGTAAGCAAGGGTTTCGATCAACGATAAGCATGTTAGGTATCGGGCCACTACATACTGGCTATAAATTTTGTTAGTGCAAATTCCCAATTTCCAATAGCGGGGCTGCAACTTACAAGGAAGGGGCATATCCTCCATCTCATCAGCCCAAGAGCCAAGGCCTATAACGGTCAGTAATCACCTCAATCATCCAAATTTTCCGCTCACTCACTTTCATCGGCCAAGAAGGTGCTCATAGACATCTTCTGGGCTTTGTTTTTGGGAGCTGAATAACCATCATGTCAGCAATCGCCCGTGAATATTTTCACCGACGGATCGATGTCCTATCGGGAATAATAAAAGTCTGGAACGAACCCATGATTGCGGTTGAGGTTGGGGAAACGCGCCAACGGATTTGTGCGCGCTTCTCGGAAAGTAGGGTTGGGTGGAAGAAAATGTCAAAAGTTCAGAGACACCTGGTTAGAAAGCCAAGAATCAAAATTTGAATCAAGTAGTGTCAGGTTTGGTATCTGCAAACACACAGTGGAAAAGTTGGTAGAGGGGAAGTCGGCTGCGGCATGGAAGTGGACGGGTTACTAAATTTTTAGTGATGACGCTAGCCCAATCAGAGCCGCGGGATCGGTCTATACCTGAACTACGACTATCTTCGAGTCTGTCTATATTCCACCTAAGATTGATGAATGAAGTGAAAGTGGTAGGGTATTTATGCTTTTGTTTGCTTCAAAAGATAAAAAATTACTATGAGAAAAATTTCTCAAGGTGGGACTCATATCTTATCTGTGTACCCCGTACACCTGTAGACTTCTTCATACTCGGCTAAAAATATATCACAAAATATCCCAAAAAAAAGTCCAGGGATTTCATTAATGTTTCTACTCGATAGGTTCATATTCGGTCATTCCAGAAGGGGTTAGTTTGCAGTAGCCCCAGTTGACTATAAGAATCGACAGTGTACAAGTCCGATTTATAGACCGCTTCATATCAGCCTTTGGTTTCGTTTGGCGTACTTGACTAGAATCTCGGGCGCAATTTGCTATATGAGGTGAGGTGTAGGCCTTCCATCCCTTAATATGCAATACATAAAAGCCCCTAGACCGATTTTAGAGATTACCGGCCCCGTCGGTAGTCATGTAGCCATGGTTGCCCTGAGTATTGATCTATAGAGAGAACGCCATTCTTATATACATAGTCAATGGTAGGTCGGTATAGTAGATTCTAATGGTTTTATAGATAGATTTAGTCTCAATCGCTGTGATAAGATGCTGATCAAAGGCTGCTCGGGTATATAAACCATCAAGCAGACACCCAGGGATGTAGTACTCCTCAAGATTGTACTACGAGTGGAGAGGATTTGTACACCTCGTTAGGCTGATTTTTGAATTTTGTATGATCACAATGCCATAACATTGTCAAGTTAGCTTGAATAAAGACCGAGCTCTGACATCAACAGTCAAGGATTTTGTAGTAATATGCACTTCATGGATTATATACGTGTTGAGAAATGAACGACAATTTGGGGAAAATAAAGATCGCGGGGCTGACAGTCTTGCAGGCGATCATCTGCTGAACATGTGCAATGTGGGGATATATATATCGATGGATCCTCACTTTCCTCGCTATTGGTCTTCTTATCTGAACGTTAATCACCGTATAGCTCGAATGCAATATACAAACAAATCACTCAATAGTTTATACTAATTTGAACCTTGCTGTTTTTGCCCTAATGCGTCACTCCAGGGCGCTGGGCAGGGGCGAGAGCATTACATAATCCAGGAACACCAGCCAAGCACGTGACCATACTCTTTCTGACTGGGATTGCTGCTTCGAGGAGTGCCTCGATGATTTGTAAAGTACCACTCCACGACCTTTGAGCTCATGCATCTTTCAGTTTGAATAAAAAATGGGTGACCAAAAGAAAGATGTGCAAGACTTCCAGTCTCAAGCCCTCCAATCTGCAGCCAAAGTTGGAGCCATCAGCGGTTAGCATTTGTCCTTCCCAAGATTGTTTGAATATAGACACCGCGAGTCTCCAAAGATGAAATACTAATTTTTCAAATCAGGAACTGCTGGCCTGATTTATGGAGGAGCTGCTGGAGTCATCAGATCTCCCAATCCCATAATTCATTCATTGTCATGTGGCATCCACTGGTTTGCATGCGGCTCAACCTTTTGGTGTATGTAAAGACATCCTATGTTTATACCGTGGATGCCTAAGCTTAATTGTGGACTAGGGCTGCGAAGTAACATCATCAAACATCATTACCAAGATAAAGCCTCGCCCAAGGAGCGCACGTACGCGAGTGCTTTATGCGGTGGCATTGCCGGCGGAAGTGTAACGAAATTGATGGGTATCGTATCCCGCGTCGAAAGCACATCTTGTAGTATCGGGTCTAACTAAATCATATAGGAGGCCGGCTGGTTCCGGGGGCTATCATTTTCTCATTGCTCGGCTACTGTGGCCAGAGCGTATTCAACCGAGTGGATGCGTGGCAAATGGAAAATGCACACAAGACATCGAAACCTCTGATGCAGCGAATGGCTGAATCTAAATGGATCCCACTTCGCTCACTCTCTGACCAAGAATACAGGGTTATGTTGAGTGAAAAGCTGCTAAGCATTGAGGCTGAGATTGCTCTCCTCGATGACAAGATCCAGGAACTTGAGAAATCTCGACCAATCTCCGATTCAAGCTCAAAATAACGTTGTCCATGGAGCACACCGTCTCAGCACCGATCTCAGCAGTTGTGTGACGCAAGGTTTAGATGCCTTTGGCGTGCACGGACACAATCGAAAGCATTGCATGTGTCAAGTACATTTGAAAAGGACACGTGAGACGGGGAAATTGTAAATTGTTGTATGATATGAGAGAGACAAAGAGAAAGTGGTAGAAGCCAAGAATAATGAACATATCAGAGAGAGTCAGCTCTGGGGACGCTTTCTAGAGCTGACACAATGATCTCCCCTGAACCTTGGGAATTCTTTGGGTCGTCTGTCGATCATATATGAAACAACTATATAATAACATTGGGGTAGAGTAATAGAGTGATACACTACTCCATATGGAAGCCTGTAAAATATAGATATAAAAAAGAATAGACCACGATCAGAGTAATGAAGGCACGGAGTAAAAGAAGCCGGGCGAGAGAAATAACTAGGGTTCCGCTTTTTCTGGTTCCTCCGACCTGTCCGGTAACCCACTCTCTCACATTATCCCTTACCCTTGAATTCTTCCCCGGCATGATTCGCCTACACTCATTTTTTTCGAATCAGCCTGCAGTGCTCATCCTACTGAGACTTTGATGGACAAAGTCGCTGCTGTTCTGGAGTCTGGAATCACTGATTCCAACCAGACGGACAGTAGAGAGGGAGCATCTAACAACAGCTTGCATTCCGATTCGACATAACCTCAATGTGCGAGTCGACACTGCCTGTCTGAGATCAGCCCACTGCTGATCGCAAACCGCGATGACACTCTTTAACCCGACATCGATTCTCGTGGGATTCCTTCTCCTCTACCTCTCGTCCTTTTTCATCTTCGCTATCGTCCGGATCGCGACGGGCATCTCCATTCAACGGATCGGCTACTTTTCGCTACGTCGAATTGCCTATACCCCGAGAGAAGGAATACACATTGAAATCCGCGGCATCGGACTCGCATTACACCCCTCGTCATTTACCCAACCAACATGGATCAGTATTCGGTTGACAGAACTCAAGATTACCGTGGACTCAACGTCTCTGGGGCAAGGAAAACGCGAAGCGCCCCGTGACACATCGAAGACCCCTAGTCCTTCCAACCCACCTGAAAACTGCGCCGCGCCCGAACCTGGCGATAGAAGCAAAACATGGAGGACGTTAACTCGAATCAAGGATCATGTCAAGCGGCTACACCGGCAAATCAATTGGTTGGCACTCGTCGACTTGACTGCTATCAACACAACCGTTCACTATGTCAACGCCGGTCAGATTCAGGTCGGATTGCTTTCCCTCTCAGTTGACACGCGGAGTAAGATGGTAGAACGGGGCAAGCTATTTCGTCGCAAGAAGGATATGTCGCGCGACCAGCGCCCAGCCGAGTGGATTATGAACGCTAAAAATGTTTTGCTCAATGTCGACGGCCGGGAGCCCACTGAGATTTTGGATAATGTGGGCATGAACCTCCATGGACTGCTGCACAAGGATTTGGATGGACTCAGAGACGCCTCGGTGGCCCTTAAGATTGGACGTATGCATATTCCATACGACGATGTCCGCACAATTCTGCAGCGCATCAAGCAGATCAAGAAATCCACCCAAGGGCCATCGATTATTGAGACCGATGACGGAATATCATTTGCTGATTACGTGGATGAACTCGACAAGCCTGGAAGCAGAGACGATTCTATTGTACAGACTGTGGCGGACTCAAAGGAGTTCGCAAGCTCATTACTTCGTGGTATACAGGAGATACAGATCGCCATGAGCTTTTTCCGCGTCTCAAAGGGTATCCAGTCTCTGTCCGCAGGACAAACCCCCATTCACCTGAATGTGGTATCGCATGAGCTTGGAATTGATCTTCATCGGATGGACTCAAAGAGCCCAGAACATCGCATGTATTTCCAACGGAATGATGTTGCCCACCAGGCTCTTCTTGCCGCTATCTCTCTTTCAGTTAGCTTAGGTGACGAATCCGGGGAAACTGATAATATTCTATACATCCCCATGGCCACGACAACCATCAAAACCACACTGCCCTCCAAGACAGTGAGCAACTTTGACGACGAGAACGCCGAAGAGCGAAACACCAATGTCTTGTTCGCAAATTTAGTCGTCACATCGCCCTCAGTTGATCTCCAACCGCAACATGTTTCAAGGCTTCTCAAGTTGGTACAGAACCGAGCCTCTTCTCCCCGAGGAAAGAAGCAGGATAATCGTCGCTTGATTTCTCGATTACTCCCGAAGGCAACAATTAAGCTTTCTGTTCACGAACCTGTGATTCGGTTCATTCTTCCGATTGAGACAGAGTCTGGTACTCCCAATGATTACAACCTCATTATCTCCTCGATCTCCTCCATTTCACTGGATAGCGAATCTTCTCATTCATCCGAAGGCGGTGCCCATTATTCTCTATCGTCCATTTACCGGGTCGCCTCCCACAAATTCTATTACCAGACCCCGGCAGGAAACAAACACAATCTACTCACAAATGAGAGTCTGGAGCTGAAGGTTCATCTGAATGCCACTCCAGAGGTCTGTGTGATCGCCTCAGGAAGTCTTAATGAGTGTTCGGTCCACATGATCGATGGGGAGGTAAACCGTGGAATCCGCGAAGTTTTGCAGCAATTTATCACCCAGATGGAATCCCAGAAGCGGGTACCAATGCCGGCAAACGAACGGAAGGCGAGCATTTTGAGACGAGTGCCCCCTTGGCTACTCCAATTTCAGTTTGAAGCCACAGGGTCCAGTGTGGAAATCGCTGGTGTGGACAGCACCGTTTCTGATGTATCTCGTGGTGTTTCTCTGCAACTGCAATCATGGACAGCGGAATACAAAGCCCAGAAAACGGAGAAAAATGTTGGGAGCATTACCAGGCGACGTACCCCAAGCTATTCGACCATCGGCGACGAATCGCCTTTTCGATTTCCCCCAACCTCGCCTCCCAAGGCCACTCACACTCAACGCGGCGCTTCAGATGGCCGGCGACTGGCTTTCCACGCACGCGGGTTCGATGGCTTTGTCATTGAGTCTGAAGATTATCTGGAACCCGAGCCATTCTTTTCTTTGCCACGATTCGAGATCGCACTGAGCACCCATAGTGATCGCCTGGGACCGGTGCTCCATGTCACCTCCGTGTTCAAGGGCATATACCTTCAATACTCACTGTACCGGTTCTACTGTGTTGGTGTTGCCGTTTCTGTGGTCCAAGACGTGCTCACACCTTTGCCGCAAAAACACGCACAGCCTGCTGAAAGCAAACCCACTGCGTCTGCAAGCATATCGCTACCGCCGCCCCCGACATACCAATGGTCTCCAAAGAAGGAGCTGGTTACCTACGACGTGAAGGCAACAGTTGTACAGCTTAAGGCGCACTTGCCGAATGATCCTCAAATAATGATTCAGATATACGGACTTGCCGGTGCTTCCCAACGTCTTTCTACTCCTCATGTTAAAGCAAATCTTGTGCGCTTCCATGCAGAAGCACCGAAACTCAAGGGTGTTTGGGCAAGAATCGGCAGTATGAACAATGTCAGACTGGATTTCCGAAAGATGAAAATGAAGCATGGGAACACATTGGTCGAAGAAAGATCTATTGATATATGGACAGACTTCATTCGAATTGGGGTACCTCATCATATGGTGATGCACCGCATTTTTGATAACTTGATCAACACGTCCAAGGCTTTCAAACAACTGCATCATCGCTTCGGGAATGGGCGCAAAGAATTTGGCTCCAAGAGAGAACCAGAAGGCCCAAAGAAGGTACCCAGGGTGACTCTTCGCAGCAAAGCGTTGCTCTTCGAACTGGAGGATGATGGCTTTGAGTGGAAACTGGGCTGCATCTACCGCGTTGGCCTGGTCGAACAGACTCAGCGGCTGGCCCGGGAAGACGCTTTCAACTTGAAATCCCAAAAAGTCAGGGAATCTGATCAGCGGCGTGCCACGTCCCGATTACGAGCAAAATCGAGTCATCGGACACTGCGTAGCGAACGAACCAGCCAAGATACAAGACGAAGCAGAAGTGCCGATGAACGGCCAAAATCTAGCGCCCAGGAACGTGGGAGAGGCCGGAGATACCGCTATAATACTGATGGTGCGACATGTCTCTCGTCAGAGCAAAAGATCTCTGTAGATGCCGCCTGGGGCCGACTCCAACAGTACAATGCTCAAGTCTGGAAAGAGAAGATTGATTCAGCTCTCATGTTCCAGGGCACTTCTATTAAAGAAGTTCGAAATCTATTCTCTGGCGCAGATGAACCTCCTGCGGATGTGAAGGACACCGAAACCATTCTTGCCATTCCGAATAGACCAGGTCTAATGTCAGCTCTGATTAGTGATGTGAATCTTGTCATTGACAAGCCCTCATTCGCTATCGAGGAGTTCCCCAAATATTTGAACCGGATTGGCAAGGGAATGCCCATGTCTATGCAATATGGCCTACTTATCCCAATGAGCTTTAACCTCGAAATGGGCGAAGCCCGCGTCAACTTACGGGACTATCCTCTAGACTTTTTGCACATTCCAGCTCTTCGCCCAGGGCAGTCTCCTAGACTTCCCAGCTGGTCTTTGCGGACAAATTTCGTCATTGCAGAAGAATGGCGTGATAATGATTCTGCAAGACAGGTCGAAGTGGAACTCGTTCCGGCATCCGAAGGGCCTGATGGGTCTCCCCGCGATGCGTTCAAGATTGCCGTCTGGCGTTCTGTTACACCAGTCAAGACTTATTCAGACCCTGTCATTGAGATAAACACAAGCTTGCCAACTAGCATTTCATGGGGTGTCTCTTACCAGCCTGTCATTCAAGATATGATGAAGATCATTGAGGGTTTTACCAAGCCCGAAATTGATCCGTCGGAACGGGTAGGCTTCTGGGACAAGATCAGACTCAGCTTTCATTCCCGAATCAGGGTTCTCTGGAAGGAAGATGGCGACGTACATCTGCGGCTTAAGGGCTCCCGTGATCCATATGTGGTGACCGGCTTTGGAAGCGGATTCGTCATGTG